CGGTTTCGCTGAGATATTCTTTAGATATTCTCTTTTATATTTGGTTCATTCACATTCTTCCGATATAGTCAGGATAATAACATCCGGGGCTTCGCCCCGGATGACTTCTGTTTTTTTCCCCAAGTGAAGGTTATGTCCCCTCATAGCCCTCAAAGTGAAGGTTACCAGAGTATGTGGCTCTATGTATCGAGGGTATGGCCATCTCGCATTGTTACTTTTCACCCGCACCCTTTTTACAGGCCTTAGAAAATGTTTGTTTACGGCGCAATCCTGTTCCACCTAAGCGGACCAACAAATATTTTGATTCATCGGACGTTCGATGTTCGTTAAGCTTGCCTTTCTCTTTTACCCTTCAAATTCAGATCCTAATTTCACAGATTCACCTGTTTGTTGTACTAGAATGGTGGGAGAGATATTGAAAGAGAAAGACAGGTGTTCACTTATTCACCATTTATTCTAGGTGCGACAGTTCAGGTACAAAGAAATAGGTAGACAAGGAGTTGAGAGGGGTTTTGAAAATGTTGAAGAGAACTCGTAAAGTTTTCAAAAGTTCGAGTTTGCAAAAGCGAAGCGAATAAGCTAATAACCGTCTTTCTCTTTCAATATCTATCCCACCATTTTAGTACAGCAAAGTATCCACAGTAAAATTTTGAGTTTTCAAAAGGATCTTTGTTTCTCAAAACTTCCTTGTTCCAGCTCGTGCCTAATCCTGTCTAGAGCAGTAAAAATTGAGTTTTCTTTCCAGTCTCCTCATCTTTCACAGCAACAATGTACTTGTCAGTATTAGTCCGGAAGTTTCAAAAGGGAGGCGATTTACGGCAGCACTTAGGGCGTCATGTTAGTTGAGTCGACTGGAAGGAGAAGTTTCTGAATTTTTGTGAGCTTACAGCCCCTATTGAGCCCCAAAGTGGAGAAACTAACTCAATCTCTGGGTTCATAAATAGATGTTAATAAATATTTTGATTATCTGCAACCAAAAACGTTTTTTTCTAGACTCTCGTTTCCCTTCATTACAAACGCTGCATCTTTATTCAAGAAATGATGTATACGGAATTCACAGTTCACAAATCTCAGTTGACATATGCAGTCAACTATTTCGTAGTCAACTTATGGATACGGATGTCATATACAGAACTCATGTCCCATGGTGGTAATATTTCAAGGCGATGAGGTAGTAACTGACAGAGGCGATGATAAAGAGAGCTCAATACTTGATGACTCGGCTTGAAAAAAGAACATTTCGTGTACCCGAAGAAATCCCTTGAATAATTGAAATCCCTTGTTCCAACGGTGCTGCTTTTTCTGTTTGAATCGCTTGAGTTCATGGAAGCATGCAATCGACAAGACGATGCCATCGACTATGATGACGCCGTTCGCAATCCATAAAGTAGCTTAAACAGAATGCGTGAACAGTGACATAAGGAATGTAGTCTCAATGATCATCAGTGCATCACTGTCACTTATGCATCACAGAGCGGACCAAGTATCGAGTATCGCATCTTCTGTGCGATTAATGCGCCTTGCATTATACTCTGAAAGATATAGTTACTACCCTACAAATATAACTTCTGCTTACCTGATCACTGTGCCTAGGACTTTCGAATAGATTGTCCAGTGAGATAAACGATGTAGGCGTACTAATTCCCATAACAACACAGATGATCGGTAGCAAAGCGATTTGGGTATTCAGAGAGGACACGAGTACTTAGATTTTTTAGTTTTTGGCTTCGAATATCATAGGGGTCAAACTTTGAGCAGGAAGTTGGTTGCGGTCTTGTAGAGCGTTTTGCTCTGTCGTCGAATGGTACGGCGTAACCTACTCGAGAAGTAAAATTAGCCTACGCTTCGAAGAAGAAAGTGAGAACGTAATCAATTATGACACAGAATAGTTCTCAAGGGTAGTTTTGCTCTTTCAAATAAGGATTGCAGAAAAAGATACAGAAAGAAAATTACTTGAATTTTGATAATATTTAGAAGGCTTGCCAGACTCTAAAACAAGCCGAAGCAGTCAAAATAAGTTTTATAACCTTCTCTTTCCAGCTATACGAAATTGTGCTGAATGAGAATTTTCAGAAAAGTTCGAAATTTCGTAAAATTAATTTTCTTCATTCTCTACGTAACTTTCTACAAAGAAATTTCAACCCGAGAAGACCAAAATGATATTGATCAGTTTTTTGTTATCTATTGTCGTATAGGTGTCAGTAAAAGTAAAAGTAAAAGTAATTGATGGCATATGTAGCTAAGTACAATAATATGAAAATATGCCGGGCATAGAAATGAATTTTGCAATAAGGTGAGTTTCCGGTGACTGATTTCTGACCGATATGCAACAACACTTGTGAAAACGCAGCACTGATTTGAGGCGCACATAGCGACAGAAAACTTTTTGCTCTAAAATGTCAGAGAGTTTCAAAAAGAGGTGATGTTGACCCTGGCGGAGGGTGTGAGCGGGGCGCCATACGACTTTTAGCGCGAAGCGACATTGTCAGCAGCAAGAAACGAAGCTTTTGACAAAGTTTTCTTGTGGCTGTAAGTGAGAGCCTCAGTCTGGCATCAACTCGAAAAACTTCAGTCTGTCTGAGTAGCTAAAAATTTCTGATCTAATGCCAGGCTGTGTAAGCTGTTTTGGAGAAAGTCTACTGATTTTTTCTTGTTGCCACACATCACGCCCCTCATCTTCCTCATACCATTAGTTCAATAGCTCTAGAAAGAATGAGCAGTCTAATGCTGCCCCTGTCGCCTTCCACTGTAGGATTAGAAAGCGGCGCATTAACACAACCACGACAATACGACCCACCGATGGGTCGTACGTGTCCTGCCATTTCGGACAATACCACCCACCGGTGGGTCGTATGTTTTTTGAGGTTTTTGATTTTGCTAGTTCACGGTGGAATTTTTTTGGCAAACCGAGTAAACTTCTGCATACACCTCTTGGTGTACTTCCCGAAAGATTGACACTTCAGACCACAGGACCCATCAGTGACTTGAAAATATTACGCAAACTCAATTTTGTGAAATATGCTCTGGTCCGAAATGGCAGTCATAGTAAAGTCGGCCCTGTCGTATATGTGTTAAGAGTCAAAGTGATGTCTTAAATGTTGGTACTTCAAAGAAAAATGTCGATTCTAACATTTTGCATGGATACTATTGCGGAAATGGACAGTCTCACTAAGTAGTCCTCATATAAATGTAATGATGTAAAGTCCTAAAGTGCTTAACACATTGACAACCATGCATGTTCGTAGTTGTCTGCCTTTTCTGACCTAGACTTTTTACGGGCCAGTAAGATTTTTTGAATTGGGTTATGCATATTTATGTCTACTATATAAACACAGCAGCTCTAAAAGGCTGAAAAAGATTAAGGTTGTCTCCACATATAGTGCAAAGAAAAACTCTTGCAGTGAGTTTATACCGAGACAGTTGTCAGTTTAATGAGATACAAGCCTTGACACACCATGCATGTCAAGCGGTCCCACGCAGTAGTCCATGTCTGTCTAGTGGTCGTCGTTGTGTTACACCCACACATGAAAGGAAAGGAAAATGTATTTTTAGCCTCTAGTCAATCAATCATGGTAGTACATCTCCCCAGTTGAAGAGTTACAATTGTACTCTACTTTGTATCAGCGAACAAAGGAGTGTTGCAAGTAAGCCGAAGAAGAGCAAGATTGAAGATTATCACAAAGCATTACATTATTGACGACATTGTTACGTGCGCACAATCGAACTATTGTACTGTTTCGTATATTTTGTTTTCAAAAAATAAAGCTTTTCATCTGCGGCTTGAAAGCCAGTTTTTTCTTTGTAAGTTCCAGAAGAGCGTCACAGGAGGTTAGCAGGGTGTCTCATATTGTATCTATTCAACAGCAGGTGTGCAAAATTTTGAAAATTAGCCAACACGAGTCATAAAATTGTACGATTCACTTGTTTTTACTTGTAAATAACAGGTTCGAAAAGTTCGCGCCGTTTTTCGTCTTTCCTATAAAATCATAAAAATGTAAGGAGAACGGCTTATACACGCAACGCGTTTTTTTTTCAGCGGTCATGTTTCTGAACTAGTTGTTCTTGCAGTTATAGTTGGCGAAGACTGAAACCCTTGGTTCTTACCATAAGTTTTACAACTTTCCAAAACTTTCATTTTAGAGTTTTGAAAGGGCTCTGATAAAATATGGATAGAGCGCAAAATGCAATGGAATACATTTTCTAGCATGTATAGCTAGCTTTTCAGGGTTTTTTCCAACCAATTTTTGATCCTACAGTATTCTATGCTTGGAAATGTCAGGCCTCATAGAAAATCAATCGACGAGAAACGCGTTTGGGTTCCGACGTAGTTTGAACTTTTAATTTTAACGGTTGCTCAGGGTTTGTTCTATGTTTTGTTGATATTGAAGCATAACCGAATTTGAAAACATTAAATTTAGAGATTTAACAGGAAAATACACATCCATGTACGGCACGAGCTTCTGAAAGAAAGCTTTGGAAAAATACCTTGAAAATGAAAAGCCAGATGTAGATGCCGACAAAATGAGTTGACTTGCATTTGCTTACTCTATCAATCTTTATCATGCTCTTCCAAAAGTTCGAAATATGAAGAATTGCCAAAGTTGTGCTCGACAGGAGCTATAAGTTCCAATCTTCAGAGATTATTTTAGTGACTACAAAAGTAGTGATCACAAAAGCACGTCGAAAAACAAAACTGCCGAAAAGAGAAAGAAGAGTTGCGTTGAATAATCAAAAACAGTTTTTTAAAATTTTACACCATGTGGAATTTCTAAAAGTTTCTTTTGCGTTTGCTTAGTTCATATCTCAGTCTCTTCTCAAATTTTCTTTGATCAACCTTCACTTTCCACGGAGAGAAATTTAGAAACCTTTTTTTTTCAATGCTCGATCGTTAGATGATCGCTGTTATGGTGAAGGACAGATGATTAAAGTTTTATGACTTAGAGCTATGTTGGTGAAAATAATTTAGTATTTACAAAAAAACACATAAAAAATGCACATCATCACATCAGTGATCTACATCTTTTCCAATCTTCTCTACATTCGTCCAATTTCGTCCACTTGTACTTTGGGATTGGCTCAACACCTTCCATACCAGTGAAAGCGCATAAGACTACATGTTTGGTGGTAAAAGTAGTGAAAAGCCAGAACCCTGACTGCTCTTTTTCTCGGTATGGTTTGCAAGCAAATTTACACTTTTCCGTGAACATCTAGAACATCATTATACAAAAACATTGAAATATTGATATGCAAGTCAATTCGGCTTACCGTACAAGTGTTAATTGGTTTCCAACTTCTCTTATTCAGCTTATTGATGTCGGCTAGCATCTCTACTGCTGCTTCTCCAATGTCGTCACAGCTAGAATGCGATTTTTTTGTCGAAAAATTAAGGAATAACACGGGAAAGAGTCATAACTCACTTTTCTTCTCTTTCAACTTTGAAAATACGAACACGGTTTGAATCTATCCATACCCCGTATACGAAAAAATCGATGAGGTGGGCCACCCAACCATGATAAGTCTGAGACGAAGACTTAGAAGACTTAGAGCAGAGAAAAAAAGAGCGAGATTTTGTGCGCGTCAAACTTTATCAGGAAATAGATTTGTGATATTTTTTTCAATCGTCAGATGCGCATTGACGGTAAGAATTTTCAAAGCTGTAATAGAACTGACCAGCTTAACTGGTTGAGTTTCACGGCAGCGTAGTTCGAAAATGTCCTTGAAAAGATTTCTCCACTTTTGAGTGCAGGAGTTACAGCCTCCGTGTTGAACACATGTGTAATCAACGAGTTGCTTTGGGGATGCAAACACAGAAGAAACGAAAGTTACACCAAATAAAATGTACAGCATTCTCGGCACGGCAAATGCTCTCTAGCATTTTTATATGGTGGCATGCTTCCGCGAACAAAATTCCAACTTTCGAGAGAAGTGCCAACGCTACTCTATTGTTTGTAACACAAGAGTGCATGTAGGTGTGTGTCGCCATTATCATAGTGCGTAGCTGTACCATGAAATCGTTTTTATCTTGTGACTATGAGTACTTCATGGCGTTACACAAGTTGGTCCATTCAAATTTTTTTGTTTCACTGTTTTCCTCACATTTTCGGGTAATAGTATCTTTCTGCTTTTATGTGCAGATCTTGAGTGAAAAACATAATTCAAACATGGGAATATATTGACGTACGATCAGTGCTAATTCACAGTTTTGTTGGACTTGTTCCAGTGAACTGGATAAATCTAGCATGAGAAATCTGAGCAGCCAACAGTGGTGCGATTGGGGGAGCAGTCCAGGGGGCGGGAAAGGGGCTGAAGAAAAGCATATGCAAAGCGCTATCTCCAGGCTTCTAGAAAATCTTATTAACCGCCTGCATCTATTCTGAGCTGCCTTTGGCATTTTGGCATCTTGAGCGTGAAGGTGTATGATGCTGCGGCTTCATAGGTTCTATGAAATAAAGTTACTTTCTTAGGTCACATATTAGCCAGGCTAATTTTTGGAATATATTACTAGGATCCAGGCCGACATTAAAAAACCATTCACAAAAGTAACAGCTCATAGCTCCTTTGAAACTTCATAAATTGGATGCAACTTCTCCTAAAAATCTTCTTCTCAAAGGTTTAAAATGGTATATGTATAATATGAGGGTAGACCTTCAAACCAGCTTATAAGTAGGTCCCCCCTCCCCCGAGAATGGGTCGCGAAATTTTTAAAGGTTACTTAAATGTGTTATAAAAATATGCAGAGGACTTGCTTTTACTTATAAATAATTAAAATAATTGTAAAAAATTCTGAAAAATTCGAATTAGCCTTGTAAATTTTTTTAGCCGCTGTCACGCCCCCTTTTCTGAAATTTTGGGGTTAGGGGCTCGCAAAAATTCTGGGAAGCATCCGAAAAAATTTTTCGGAGTGCGTGGCTAACGCCATGCATCTCCATCCGGAAAAAAATTTTTGTCGCGCCCCCCCCCCCCTCCCCGAACGGAAATCCTGGGTGCGCCACTGAAGTAGGGGGAATATCTTTCTCCACAAAGAACCCTCCGACGGTTTCCAGCCAAGCACTAAGTAGTGTGCGGATTCTGGTATGATGAAAAGTCTCCCCTTACTTTTAAGCTCAAAGTGACATTGGTTTACATATAAAACACTATTTGGAAGCTATTGCAGAAACAGTTAAGGAAGTCGCGTCCGGTTCATTAACTATTAAATTTTGACAATCGCTTTTGAAGTGCTTTTTAAAGTCAGGTTCCCGGTGATGTTTTCTTGAATCAGCCAAGCTTTAACAAGTATTCTGAAAGAGCACTTAAACAGAAGACATGAATTTGCAGCATCAGGCACGTAGGGACCGGTCATACCTCGTCACCGCGCATTTTCTAACTCTACGGTTGTCTATAATCTACCGTAGGCGCTTATTATGAAAGCACTAGCTGGCTTACCCGGCTCCGCCGTATCCGGACCAAACTTGGCACACATACACTTCGGGCCCCGGCGGGTGTCACAGTCCACTTTTCGTTATCGATCGATGTCGATTTTACCGATTTTTATCGATTTTTTTGCAGAGTTCACCTACAGGGCTAGGAGTTGGCACAGGGGGGAAGTGAGCATGGGGATTCCGAATACAGTATTAGTTTTCAGGATCCTCCATTACTTTTATTGATTTTATCGATTTTTTTGTAAATTTTGACATGCGAGGCTGGGATTTTGCACAGGGGGGAAATCGAGCATGCTGATTACGAACACAATATTAGTTTTCAGGATCCTCCATTACTTTTATCGATTTTATCGATTTTTTTGTAAAGTTTGACCTGCGGGGCTGGGAGTTTGCACAGGGGGTAATCGAGCATGCAGATTACGAATACAATATTAGTTTTCAAGATCGTCCATTACTTTTATCGATTCTATCGATTTTTTGAAAATTTGAGCTAGGGGGCTGGAATTTGGCACAGGGGTGTAATCGAGCATGCTGATCACCCCCCTTGGGGATGATCAGCATGCTCGATTACCCCCCTGTGCCAACTCCCAGCCCCCTAGCTCAAACTTTGCAAAAAATCGATAAATCGATAAAAGTAATCGATAATCCCGAAAACCAATATTGTATTCGGAATCCCCATGCTCGATTACCCCCTGTGCGAACTCCCAGCCCCGTAGCTCAAACTTTGCAAAAAAATCGATAAAATCGATAAAAGTAATCGATAATCCTGAAAACCAATATTGTATTCGGAATCCCCATGCTCGATTACCCCCCTGTGCCAACTCCCAGCCCCGTAGCTCAAACTTTGCAAAAAAATCGATAAAATCGATAAAAGTAATCGATAATCGTGAAAACCAATATTGTATTCGGAATCCCCATGCTCGATTACCCCCCTGTGCCAACTCCCAGCCCCGTAGGTGAACTCAGCAAAAAAATCGATAAAAATCGATAAAATCGATATCGATCGATGACGAAAAGTAGCCTATGACACGCGCCGGGGCCCGAAGTGTATGCGTGCCAAGTTTGGTCCGGATCGGTTCAGAAATGGAATTTTCTATTCGGAACATACGTACATACATACATACATACAGACAGACAGACAGACAGACAGACATACAGACAAACAGACATTCAGCTTTATATATAAGATGGCATGTACGCGTAAGTTTACAAAAGCTGTGAGCCTATGAACTTAAACTTGAAATTTTTTTAGTCGCATCAACTGCGACCAAGAGGTTCATCAAAATTGGAATTTAGACATTTTTACGCAATTTCACCATTTGAGATTCTGTAGCGAAAAGCTCTTGCATAGTTCCTAGTTCCTTGCTAGATTTTTTAACACTTTTTTCCCAAAATACAATAAAGAAAACGAAGAAACTATCCAAATTCTCGACTTCCATGATTTCGTCGTTTCGGGCTCTCATGTCCCTGATTCCGAGAGTTGGGAACCCACGAAAACCCGACAATTTCTGTTGTGGAGACCATTCCCCCCCCCCCACGGGTTCCCGAACGGCGATTGGATGGGAGAGCACGGCTGAGTGGAATCTACCGTTTGGAGGAGTGGTCGCAGTAGTACTCCCTGTTTTTAGTCTCGTCCGAAGCGTTTTCTTGCTTGAGATCCTTTTTCCTTTTTCGGACTCTAACTTTGCGTTAGTCATCAGCCGTGCACCGCGTCGAAATACTAATACCCTCAACTTGGGTAAGCGGTGCAATACAAGGACATAGTCAAAAATGGAAGTGGAAGTCAATGCAAACAAGCTGCATATCAAAAGATGTAGCTAGAAAGCAGACTCTATATGTGCCTTACCTATCTGCAAACTTTTGTGGACGAAGCTACGAGCCATTGTAAGCTATTTTATCGCTATGGAATCGTGTGTCTAAAGTGCAAAATTAGTCGCACAGAGCCAGATTTAGCTCAATACTGGGCTAGAACATGCAGCTAAATTACCTCACATAGCCCATACCGATAGGTGAACTAAAAAAGCAACAAAGTGTTCAATTTTGCAACTTTTATGTACAATTTTTCGCATGAAACTGCTCATAATTTCGTATATAAGGGTCTTTAGCAGATACAAAAGACAGTTTGGTGTTAGCGTTGTATGCTGCAACCAATGGTGTGCAGCCTGCCTGGATGGGCTTCGTCGACTTCTGACCATTCCTTTGTTGACTAGTTGACCTTTCATATGACAATCGATAAACATTAGATTTGAAGTATTGTCGACTGGTCGACTGCGCGGACTGACCGCAGGTTGCGGAGCACGCGCGGCGCAGTTTAGCCTGCGTTCATACTGATCCCGAGTTCGGGAGCAGTTCCAGCATAACGCTCGGAGTTCTAGCGCTGTGCTGGAACTGTTCTCGAACTTGGGGATCAGTATGAACGCATCTTTAGACGTCGTCAGAGCACGACTTGTACAATAGTGATTTGTCTGGTAGAAGCGTTTGACAGCGCGCCGCGTGCTCCGCATTCAGCCAGCCCTTGCAGTTAACGATTTTACTCGGTTTATACATTTGAGAATATGCTTTGTTTGATTTGTATCTCTTTTATTTTCCTTGCTTTCGCTTTGCAGTCACTGAAAAGCTTAAAGATGACGTGTTAGAGAAGGGAAGAATCGATCACTATCGCATGTGTGCCAGCCAATGCACTTAGAGAAAGGCGATGTTTGTTATGGAGCAAAATGTGTCACTTCAAAGCAGCATGTAAGCAGCAAATATCTCTCGCAACTTCGCGAATAGTTCCAGGAGTATCTTTCTGCTAGCCAAAGTAGCAGAACTGAATCTTTGTCTCATGAAGATAACTTCAGTGTCATCGACGCAACCTAGTAGCTAAAAATTCATTTCTAGTATTTGTAATTTTCAAAAACGTTCCTTTCTTTGTTTTTCGCACCTTACAGCGATTAAATTTTCAGAGTGGCTCAGTGAGCGTAGTAGCGACTTAGAACTGGCATGTGCAAAAAAAACTATATGTAGTCTCGTTTTAGGTAAAGTGTTTCAGTGTCCTTTCTCTATTTTGTGTTTCACAAAGGGCCGTATCTGCGCTCGCTGATAGCATTTGGCTGGGAGCTATCTATTCTTGATCTATTCTTGACCGCCATCCTCTTGCACAGTCGAGTAGATTTCCTGCTTAATATAGTGTCCCTGCAGACGCGACAACGCTAGTGCGTCAACACTATCGCGAAGTTTCGAGCGCCGTTTTCTAGCATTTCGCTGTTCTTTGCTTTTTCAGGGAACTCCTTGCTGATAAAAGACAGGCAGGTATGTTGAAGAGTAATTTCTGTTTTCTGAATAGTTATATTGTCGCTAATTCGTAGATATCTACGTTGAAGTCACGTCGCGTCAGTTTCATGTGTATGTGCATGTGTTTTTTGTCACATGATGCCTCTTTTTTTCTTG